GGGAAAGTTTTTTTACTTTACCTACGACAAACGAACTACTCTCTCTCTCTCTCTCTCTCTGTGTGTGTATATATATATATACACACACACACAAAGTATAAGTTTTAAACAAACAGTTTAATATTGGTACACACTGATGATGATTGTGAAGCTTGGTTGAGGTGGAGGAGTCAGAGGGTGGGATATTTCCCTGACTGCTAAATGATGAACTAGCAATTGGCTGAATCCTCAAGGGTTAACTCTCTCACTCTGCAAGGCAGCAGGAATGAGGGAGATATGCGCATTTCCCTTAAGTACACTGCCTTGTTAATTAGATCAGCTTGCTGAGACCACAGCTGCTGCAAGCTCCCTCCGTCCTGAGCCCTGCTCTATGGAAGATGGGGTAAGTGGGGTGCAGGAGCAGGGGGGAGGGGGACACCCTGACATTAGCCCCCCCTCTTCCTTCCCTCCTCCCCGGCACAGCAAGCAGGAGTCTCTGGGAGCAGCTCCAAGGCAGAGGGCAGGAGCAGCACATAGCAGTGGGGGGAGGGACACAGCTGAACTGCAGGCAGCTGCTGTACAGGGAACTTAGGGGAGCGGGGAGCTGATAGGGGGCTGCCGGTCCACCCTGGTTCCAAGCCCCCACCAGCTAGCTGCAAGGGACTGCTCTTCCTGCAAGCAGTAGACAAAACAGGTGGCTGCCAAACGATGTTAGAAGGGAGCATTACACAACTTTAAACGAGCATGTTCCCTAATTGATCAGCACCGTAACAACGAAACAATGTGAACCAGGACGACTTTAAGTGACGAGTTACTGTATTATGTGTAGTACTTATGTCATTGACAAAGATTTGAGACATCCCTGTAGTCACATTAATGGCCTGGTTTTTCAGTGGTGTCAAACATCTGCACCTTTCACTGAGTTCTTGTTACATCTGAAAAATCAGATTTTATAGGCCTTTAGTTTCTGAACACAGTTAAAGTCTTCTGGAACCGGAAATGATAGCACGTAAGGTTTCTCCTCAATGTGTACTTTAGCAACATCCAGTCACTAAAGGAAACCAGTCGTGGTCATTAAATTCTGTACATGTTTTACATTTACTAATTTAAAGTTATTGCACTAGCCATAGTATTTCCTATACTTAGCAGAAGGAATATTGTGGTAATGTTAATTATTTGCAAATGGCAGTTGTGAAGATTTTACTGTAACTGGAAACCAGTGAGCCAGGACAATAGATAGTTTGGATGAGCTGTTTGGTGGAAAATTTTGGTGCTGCTGTTGTATTTTTCTCTTTTTAGGTACCTGTTTCACTCTGTTACCCTGTGGTTATTGTTACACTGATTTTTTTAACAGGTAATTCAGATGATGCCAGTTTATCACGTTCAACTTCTGTTGCCACAGGACTGAACATAATGAAAAGGCAGAAAGTAAAAACTATCTTTCCACATACGGCTGGAACTAACAAGACATTACTTAGCTTTGCACAGGGAGATGTCATCACACTTCTTATAGCTGAAGAAAAGGATGGCTGGCTTTATGGGGAACATGACATGACTAAAGTGTAAGTCAATCAATGTATTACCTGATTCCCGCAACAGAGGGACAAATACATCTTATTCTATTTTGTCTATTTAAATTGGCAAGTAGTTTTTTGCTTCCCTGCTCACTGTCATTGATTGGGAATTCTGAGGGAAGTGTTCAGCAACCAGGAAAGTGTTACTGTGGAGGGAAATGTGTCATACAAAAATAAGTATATATACAAAATCCCCAGAAAACAATATCACCAAAAGCCAGGCATAAAATCTTCATCTAGCCTTGTTGAGCCTGCTCTTCCATACAGTGCCATCAATTTAAAAGTATAAATACTCAAATATATCAGGTTGTCCATTTTTTCCCTTTTTACAGAAAAGGATGGTTTCCATCATCATACACAAAGCTACTGGAAGAGCCAAGTGATGAAACAGTACATGTTCCAGTGCGAAGGTAATGTTGTTATGCGGTTTGTTGAAATGTTTAAAGATCTTTAAACGTGACAGAAACTCTTTGTCCCAGCAATGCACACAGCCGATTACCCAGTCCTACTCTGTTCCCAGAGGTGCTGCTTGCCGGTGACTGATGAAAGAGAGAGAAATCCTTCCAGAATGCACTCAGTGTAAATCCTCCTGTCTTCCCCACCCTATCCTCCCCAGTGCACATGATGGGTTGGTCTATTCTGGTCACTTCCTGTTTTCCCCCTGGGCTCCACTCAGTTAAATCCATCCCCCTTTCCCCTCTCTCATAATCTAAATGCAGTAGGAACCATTAAATGAGTCTCTTCTGCCTTTTTCTGCTCACTAGACAAAGACCCACCACATTCAGTCGAGGTGTTCACATTTTCTAATAAACTTTTTTTTCTTCTTAAAATTAATTTCTTCTAGTGTTTTATGGTTCAGTAATGTGATCTATACTATAAATATTTTCTAACATTATATGTTCTTTCTCATATGCCTTGATTACATACCATCTTCTTTCACCAAAGACCCATATTTTAAGCGCAAGTAGACCCACGGAAGTCAATGGGATGACTCGTGTATTAAAAGCTAGGCACATGTTTTTATGTTCTTTGCTGGACTGGGGCCCAAACCAGTATTAGTTGTTGTTTTAATTAAGCTACTATGTGCTTTTTTCCCCCCTTTTAGCGCTGCACCAATCAGAAGTATCAGTTCTATAAATCTAGCAGATAAAGGTGGTGTTGTCCTCCCCCCACCAGATTATCTGGGAACTTTGCAAACAGGCACAACTTCAGATATGAGAGTAGATTCTTCCAAAGGTACTACTGTTAAAGCACCTGTGACCAGACCAGAAAGCACAACTCCTGTGAGTAAAATTGCATTACATTTAATAAGTTATATGGGTCCAACTGTTCTTTTCCATCCTTATCATTTGTCTGGCCATCTGACTGAACTCCTCACAGGCTCTGTGTAGTGTTTTATCTTGTTCGCTTTTGAAGACCATGTATGCATGTGCCTCATCAATCAGCAAACCCGCTTTGTGTCTGGGCATGGTGTAGCAAGCACTCCTCCTTTAGTGCTCCCTGCTGACAGCCATTGCAGTCCCATGGTGGGGTACTTCTTGCAACTCAGCCCTCCAGCCAGGTCACAGACAGTTCTACTCCTTCTGGGATAAACCAATAGTCTAACAAATAATAGTCCATTGGCCTTACGCTGGGCCTTCAGTCCAACCCTGGACTCACTAGCCCTTACCACTGATATCCAGAAGTTTCAGTAGTCCTCTTCTGTGCACCTTCTTCAGTAGGCCAATAGTGGGGACAACAGTCCCATTCCCTTCCTCCCTCCCTCGGGTTCCAGTCCTGTGCCTTTTAATAAATAGTCAAGGCTTGACTACACAGACCCCTTGCTCCATCCCTGGACCACTTCCTATCTTCTTCCCCTGTCGAGAGCCTTTGCCATAGCCTCTTCCCAGGATCAAAGTGTATCAACTTCTCCCTCTCCAAACCTCTTCCACAGGCTCACTGCAGAGCTTCTTAGAACTTTCTGTCACCCAACTGGTTCTGCTGCAGGAGAGTTTGCTCCACTCCCTTAACAGGGCAATCCCCACCCCAGCAGGAGTCTTCCTGCTCCCTGCAGGCCTCTTCACCAGTACCAAGAATCCTGGGCAGACTTCCTTCCTTCCACTTTCCTTCCCAAGAGCCTTGGACTCCCAGGTGCAGCCCTACCTTCCTTCACGGAGGCTCTGTCTCTGCCAGCAGTCCCACTCAGCTCCCTGACTCCAGCCAGGCTTCTCTTGTTGAGAGAGCCAGAGACCTGCCTGGTTCAGCCTTTTTAATCCCCACCCCACCCCCACCCCCCATACACACACTGCAGGTGTAGCCAGGGGAGGCTGATTGAGCCCACAGCTTACATTAACAACTTCTGCCCCCATCACACACCCCTAATGTCAAAGTCTCAGCAATTGCTCTCGACAAAATATTTTTTTTTGCCAAACTGTCCCCACTGTAAGAATTATTTTTCCTGATGTCTAATTTAAACTTTTTCCTTTGGAAGCTCAGGCTACTATTTATTAAACTACCTTTAACCACATGAAATAATGTTTACTTCTCACTATTGTTATATAGTACCTCCTCTAATCTACATTTACAAGTTTGTCTACTTTTCTCTAAAACAGACATACCCACTTTCTCTTTCTCATGAATCCCTGTCATTTTATCAAATTGGTTACTCTTTATAAGATTCTTACTAAAACAAAATAAGCATTTAATGTAAACAATTCTGTGTTGTTATTTCAGTTCAGAAAGTGGAGATGCTTCTTAGCATGTGTACAAAGGATAGATAGATTAGACATAGACAGACAGACCCATTGTTTTTAATACATTCAAAAATAACAATGCAATAAACATTAAAAACTGAGTGCCTTGCATGGTGTCAGGTATCAGAGGGGTGGCCGTGTTAGTCTGTATCCACAAAAACAACGAGGTGTCTGGTGGCATCTTAAAGACTAACAGATTTATTAGAGCATAAGCTTTCATGGGTAAAAACCCACTTCTTCAGATGCAACCGAAGATGCATCTGAAGAAGTGGGTTTTTTTACCCACGAAAGCTTATGCCCAAATAAATGTGTTAGTCTTTAAGGTGCTACCAGACTCCGCGTTGTTTTTATTAAAAATTGACTCATTATTTAATTGCTAATCAATAGCAGACAGGCTTAAAATAACAATGCCAAAGATAATATGTGTCCTTGGCAGCCTGATCCAATGGCCACTGAAGTCAGTTAGAGGCTTTCTATTGAGTTCTGGTGACACTGGATCAGGCCTTTTTAGGAAACACCACATTTTTTCCATTTCATGTCTTTAAGCTAACATTAAGAAGGGAGAGGAATTGTTTAGGAGCATAAGTAGGAATAATATTATGATTTTTTGGAAGTGAAATTTAGGCTGAATGTTGAGAAAACTTCCCAGCACTGGAAGATATTAAACCCTTGAATAAAATCTCAAGGAAGATGATGGAAAACCCATCACTTACGTCATTTTAAAATTATAATAGTCCAAGCAATTGAGAGTAATGAGCTACATTCTGCCTTCAGAAAGATCTGTACAACCCCATATAAGTAAATGGTATTGTGTGGATATAACTGATGGCAGAATATAGCTCATAGTCTATAAAATAATCCTACACAGGCCAGGGGGAGTATTTAGACACACACATTAAGTCCCATATCCTGCAAACACGCACGACTGAATGGACTGCATTTTTTACCTATTCATTTGTAAGCCTGGTAGTTTAGCCATTAAATCTGAATACAAACGATGCATGTTGATTGCTGAGTGTATACCTAACTCTGATAAATGATTTTGCTCAGATTGTTTCCCAAAATTCCTGAAGCAAAATACATGCATCTCAGTTTTAGCAGAGCTTCAACTACTGCTTTAATATAACAGTCTGTAAGGCAGTAGTTGAAGCTCTGCTAAAACTGAGATGCAGTGCCACAGTAAGATGTCAAATTTTAATAGTGTATAATTCCATAGTGAGTGTCTTTAAATTCCATATTGCATACCATTCTGTCGCGAATGAATAACTAAACAGAATTCACATTTAGTTACTGCACCAGAAATAAACAGAAAGCTAGTATGACTGAATTAAATATTTTATAACTACAGTAAATTTAATTAGCACTGTAAACTGTCATGTTTGTGCTTGCTAAGTGATCTGCTGGCACATATAGTAGAAATGAGAATGCCCTTGTAAATCTCCTATATTTCACATTGCTACAGTATAAGTCTCAGAACATCCTGCTGGGAAAGTGAAAAGCAGAAACTGAAAGTTTGTTACATCTTTTTGATTAATATTAAAATATTCAGTTAATGATCAATAATATGTATATGATAATACTTGAGAGCAGTGACTTTTAGGTGGCATCAGAAAACTATAGTCTTTATCAAAGAGGTCTCTCTCTCTCTCTCTCTCTCTCTCTCCTTTTTTAATTAATGTATTAATATAATTAGATATGTGCAAGTGCCTAGATACAATGGTGGTAGGCACTTTTTTAGATTAGACAAAATAGATTAGCCTATATATTTGTGTCTCCATATGTGTATTTGTGGTTCTCTGTCCATGTGTATCTCAAAAATGTAGAGAATGAGCAATATTTCTGGAAATTTATGAACTAGTAAATGCTATTTTTAATAAACAATAAGTAAATATTATCCCAAACATCACATTATTATAGTATTATTTTGAAGATTTGAACTCAGGCAAAAAGATTTACATTAAACACATTAACCAGTTATAAATACAAGTTATGATGATGTATCTGAAAGTTGGGTTATTTCCTTTAAAAATAAAATAATAAAATAGTGTGGGGGAAAAGGAGGGAGTATTTACATATGAAATAATGAAGTTTGACATGCCCAGAAGGGAAAAAAATTATCTGAATTCTCCTTGAGGACGAAACAATATTTCTTTGAAGAATTAATTGTCATAACATCAAAATTTGGATTGGCATAATTTTTTAAAATAAACCACATGACCTACAGTATATGGCTGATTCCTTTAAAGAATCTGAAAATTTGCCAGAAGTTCAGCTAGCCCGGTCTCCTGGAAATGTCCTCTCTTACTACACATAGTTTCCAATGCAGTGAGCTTCCCTTTGATCCTCTGTTGTCTTGCTTAGGAGTTCTACAAGAATATTCATACATGTACAAGAAGAATTACTTGTAGACACAAGCCAAAATATATATCACTTGCAGATGCAGAAACTCATAGATTCCCTGCCAAATGATAATGTTTGATAAATAATTCAATACCTCCCATGAAAAGTAAATGTCTGACTCTCGCAAAGGCTATGCTACGAGCTGGGGAGTGATTCCCCCGGTTGCCTATGCATACTTGCGCTAGCTCTCATCAAGATAGCAGCGTAGTCACGGTAGCAGCAGCGGAGTCTTTGGTCTAAAATAGTGCTTTTTTGATAGTAGGGATTTTTTTTAATTGCTGTTAAAGGGCTAACTGATTATTGCTAGTACATGGTGGCATTTGCTGCTGGTTTTGTTTTTCTGATATGGTTTGTGTTTTATGTATTAAAGATGCCTAGAGCTTAGAATAAGCACCTTCTTATGGTATTTATGGATTTATAAGGGGGGGGGAATTTAAATGGTACCACATTACAATACACATACTGAAACTGATCTTGACATTAAAATACTGGCCTATGATATGCAATTAATAAAAGGGGATTTTAAAACCTATATATAAAATACTTTAAAATGTGACATATACCCACTTGTGTATGACTCTCCTACCTATGTATTTATTATTTTTAAAATGTTAATTTGTTACGTGAATATAAAATAGGGGACAGATCCTGGTATATCCACCAGAACTACAGCCTTAAATAGAAACCAGTAATTGAACACATTATCTGTTTGCTTATATGTCACTTTGACAAGGCATTTAAGTGTAATCTTAATGTTTACGTTTCAAAAATATTTTCAGACTTGGAAACAGAATTAGTTGGTTTTAAAAAAAAAAAATCAAAGCATTACTTCTCCTTCCTCCTGGCTTACATATTCCTTTAGGGATGAACGTTGCTTTTTTGGGATGCATGACCATTCTTTCAGTGCAGGTGTGCTGGGGGTGCAGGAGCACCCCTTGGCTTGAAGTGGTTTCCATCATATACAGGGTATAGTTTCCTTCAATGGCTTTCAGCACACCCACTATAAATTGTTCCAACGCCACTGCTTCAATGGGTGTAATAACAATTTATACACTTGAGCATGACTACAACTCCTAATATTGTACATGTAAATGTTCTTCCAATAGCCACACTACATTTGTTGTTGTTAAACTCTGTAGACAGTTTTGCTATTACTTTGTTTGCTTTTGGATTTATTATTAGATGTGGTAAACAGCTGTTGTTGCCAGTGGTGCAAATAAAATCAATTTCTTGCCAGTACCGGAGGTGGGGGGGAGGCCACCAACTAAGGGGGGCATGTGACCCTCCATGTGACTCCTCACCGCCCCAGCCCAGGGCCCCCACGCTCTCCCCATCCTGTCCCCATGATCAACTACAATAGAACCTCAAAGTTATGAATTGATCAATCAACCACACACCTCATTTGGAACTGGAAGTATGCAATCAGGAAGCACCAGAGACGAAAAAAAGCAAATATAGTACAGTATTGTGTTTAACAAAAAAAAATACTGGAAAAGTTTTAAAAAAAGATTTGACAAAGTATCTAGGAACTTCCAAAATAATTATGTGAACGAAGCACCTACATTATGAAACATTTGGCGTTTTCATTTTTGGATGAAGAATAAATGAGCCTTAACAATTATATAATGTCAGAATTATATATTGGTTCATTTATTCTGTGGCTAACTGGTGAGTCCTACTAGATCAACATGTCCTTTGACTATGATCACATTTGCAATAGTTTTAAAGATTTATTAGCACAGTGGAAGTTGCTAAGCAAGCAGTACAGTGAGTTCTTTGCCATGTGACAGGGAAAGAGGTGACTTACTGTAGTTCTGTTAAATTATTGCATCAGTTAAGTTGTCTCAGCAGAATTGTGCTGTGTAGTTTTTCATGTGGTTAATTTACCTCTGGTGACTTTTAGAGACTATTCATTTTAGGTGATTTTTTAAAATTAATAAACATAATGATAGTGGCTCCTGTGCTGTCATTGCATGGAAAAACCCAGAGGAAGAGCAAAATCACCTGTAAAATTCTGGCGTGTTCCCCTTGGGTAGTTAGAGCTACATGTTCCCTCAGAGGAAAAGATGGGTTTATAGCCTTAGAAAGGAGAGAGGGGCACTACAGGCAAGCTCTGTGGATACAAAATATACATAAGGAAAAATGAGTTCCACAGCTCCTGAGGATGTGATCTTCATCACTTCTGTCTGGGGTGCCCCTAAGGCCTGACAGCAACATTTCTGCAATGCCCACTTGCTGCCCCCGACCTTTTCCACTCCAGAAGGGATAGAAGTTGTAGAGAGAAATCACTGCCACTTACATCAGAAGGGAAGCCAGCTGTGGAGAGTCATGCCTCCTCTACGCCCCTTGCCTACTCCAACTCCTTCCCCTAAAAGAACCCACAAAACTCAGACCAAGTGGAGCTCACACTGAGGAGCTTGTGCGTATTCAGGGAAAAGGGGAGCACAATGTAGAGTTACTTACTTACTGCCTGTCCCTCCCTCCATGTAACACCAGGCTGATCTAGAATATTCTGCACTATTCAGTTAGTGTTCAAATGGAACAATATACAACAGAATGCAATTTATACTGAAGCACAATTTAACTCACTTAAGTATTTTGACTTACAAAGAGTGGATAGCTGAGTGGCTTAGGTATTGGGGTTTTGCTTCTGTGTTCTTGGTTTAAAGCTGAGGCAATGAAAGTTACTTTCACTTCATGAAAACTCTCACTCACACAGACCTTGGGAGACAGGTCAGTCCTCACTTACAGACAGCCCCCCAACCTGAAGCAAATACTCACCAGCAACTACACACCACACCACAGAAACACTAACCCAGAAACAAACCCCATTGCCTGCTCTGTCCCCATATCTACTCTAGCGACACCATCAGAGGACCTAACCAGGGGCATCTCTATGTATTTTGCTGCCCCAAGCACGGCAGTCAGGCGGCTTTCGGCGGCACACCTGCGGGAGGTCCGCCGGTCCCGCGCCTTCAGCGTACCTGCCACCGAAGCCGCGGGACTGGCGGACCTCCCGCAGGCACGCCGCCGAAGGCCACCTGACTGCCGCCCTCACGGCGACCGGCAGGCCGCCCCCCACGGCTTGCCGCCCCAGGCACGCACTTGGTGCGCTGGTGCCTGGAGCCACCCCTGGATCCAACCACATGAGTCACACCATCAGGGGCTCATTCACCTGCACATCTACTAATGTGATATATGCCATCATCTGCCAACAGTGCCCCTCTGCCACGTACATTGGACAAACCGGACAGTCTCTACATAAAAGAATAAATGGACACAAATCAGACATCAGGAATGGTAACATACAAAAGCCAGTAGGAGAACACTTCAATCTCCCTGGACATTCTATAACAGATTTTAAAGTAGCCATACTTCAACAAAAAAACTTGAAAAACAGACTTCAAAGAGAAACTGCAGAGCTACAATTCATTTGCAAATTTAACACCATTAATTTGGGTTTGACTAGGGACTGGGAGTGGCTAGCTCACTACAAAAGCAATTTTCCCTCTCTTGGTATTGACACCTCCTCATCAATTATTGGGAGTGGACCACATCCACCCTGATTGAATTGGCTCTGTCAACAGTGGTTCTCCACTTGTCAGGTAACTCCCTTCTCTTCCTGTGTCAGTATATAATGCCTGCATCTGTAATTTTCACTCCATGCATCTGAAGAACTGGGATTTTTACCCACGAAAGTTTATGCCCAAATAAAGCTGTTAGTCTTTAAGGTGCCACCGGACTCCTCGTTGTTTTTGTGGATACAGACTAACACAGCTACCCTTCTGATATTTCACTTCATGTGGCAGAAAGATTCCTTACAGAACAATTACATTTAAAAGGATTAGTATAGCAGCCCAGATTTTAAAAATACTTCATTTTGATGGGAGGGAGGCGTTTTTGTTTAATAACAAGCAACCCATGATTCAGGCTATGATACACCAAGGTATTTAAACACTTTAAGGGTGTGAGCAATCTCATTGACTTCAATGGGACTGTTCATGCACATAAAGTTAGTCACATGCTTAAGTACCTTGCTGAATTGGGGCCTAAATGAGTATGGATCCCTAAATACCTTTTCACCCATACTGGTGAAATTAGAAACCACACATCTAGATTTAACTATATTGATACAATTGTTTAATGTACATAAAAACAAAGGTAAACCCTTGTTTACCAATCCAATTTTCTTTCTAACAGTTGTATACTTAAAAAATTAAACACCTAGAATACCCATGCAAAGGAAATGCTTAGTGTAAACCAAATGAGGACTCATTTACTGGTTGACAATCATGTATTCCTATAATTTTATTCAAGTGTGTGTGTTCAAATATAAAACAGTAATTTTTCATTTTAGCAACTGCAGTTTTTCATCATCTTTGAACTGCTGTTTCGTTCTTCGGTTGACAACTGTTAGAAGCAATATGATTGTTTATTTTACAGTGTACATTTATTGAACTGATTTATGCATTGACTTATACGGTTGATTTAGTATAATTTTTCTCCCTAATAGGCAGTATAAAGGGGAACTAGTTTAATGGCCTCAAGAAAACATTTCAGATATGTGTCTGAAATGTCACTGCTACGATAGCTTTCCTTATCTCAGCTGTAAAACTGACTATTATAACAACATTATGGCAGTGCAACACTGCCATCTTTTGGGTAATTATCTGAACTTCACAATTGAATATGTATTTCAGGAGGAAAAGTAATGTACAGTACCAGATATTAATTTTAGCCAGACAGTAATATTTTTGTCTCATATTTAAATATGTGACCGTTAATAGTAATGAAATGGTAAAGATATGGCTATTCACATCCTTTCCTTTTTATTGTATCACACTACTACAGATAGTGGAGAAAGCACAGATGCATGTAAAAATGATATTTTTTTCAGTGCAAAAGAGTAATGGAAGGGTCTGATTCTGAACTCAATCCATTGCAACTCTGCAGTAGCTACACTGAAGTAAATGCAGCTAGAGTGCAACCAGTATAAAACAGATCAGAATCGGTGCCCTACTGTTTTTAATTTCAAACCTGCAATTAAATTGGGTGTCTTTACTTTTTACATGATTTCACAATGCATCAAGCAGATATATTGATTATATCCTGTTTATAGAAATAACATCTAAAATATGTATTTGCATTCTTACAACTGAGCAAGTCCAGACCAGCCATTAATGCATTGGTGTCTTATTGTAATCACTAGCATTTTACAAGTTGTGTGTTATGTTAATGACTGCTGCAAGTAATGAGGCTCATAAATTTAGAGGAATGAATTGTAATATGCTACGATAGATAGATATAACATCTTGGGATTCTTAACCTGTCAGATCAGTAGATTTCTCCCAGCCTATTTTAGAATCTTCTTTTACTTATTTGGTTAATGTTTTTGTTCCCATGTGTTTTTATAACCCCTGATTTGATCTATATGCTCAACTAGCAGTTACATGCAGGTAACCCATGCAGACCTTACATTTGAAAACAATAGAAGGGTAGTATTTTACAGTGAAGATCTCGGTGGGTCTCCATGTATTTGATTTTTTTATTTAAATTTCTACGTTTGATATTCAAGCATTGGTCTTACTGGTTTTTCTTCTCTGTATCCTCTGCATTTGAACTGCTATTGTCCCTTCCTATTGGCTGAGTATTTCATTGTGCAGCCAAATAATGTGGAATAGTGAATGTTGGGAATACATAATTTAAATAAATATAAATTTATTCTTGACTATCAAACACCTGCAAGCAGGTAGCTTATCTTTCTAAACAATTTTCAGAATTGATGTGATAACCTGTATAACAGTGATAACAGCCTTTCTTTCCTTTGCAGAAACCTGTTATAAATGGCATTATAAAACCACCTTTCCTAAGGTATGTTTTGTTTAGCGTATGTTAAAATAACAGGCTAATGTAGTAGTAGTTGGTCGTTATCTTAAAAGGAAAATAGGTGTCCATTTTGCAGTTTCCCCTACTGGGCAGCAGTAAAAAAGCAAGGCACACATTACAAACCAGGCTTTCACTTAGGAGCAGGCTGATGATCCCCTAGGAAGACTCTTAGGGCATGTCTACACTGCAATTAAAAACACTGTGGGGTCCAGGGAACTATAGCCCAGGCTCCTGCACAAGTCTGAACATCTACACCGCCATTAAACAGCCCCTCAGCACGAGCCTGCATCAGCTGGCACAGGCCAGCCACAGGTTTTTAATGGTAGTGTAGCCGTATACCCCCCGCCAAGCATAGTGGGTCCCTTCTGTGGCAAAATAAGGGAAATTAGCCCCAATGAAGTCAGTGGGATTTTTCCCATTATATGAAAGGCAGCAGGGTCAGGCTCTTAGTTTGAGGTCAAACAGAAAACAAAGGATTGGAAAGAAAAAGCAATGAGAACATCACTCCTGTTTCAACCAGTTTTAAGGAAGTCCCAGATATGGAAAATGAAAGCTCCTTGGGCTACACAGATGAAAAAGGCTTTGCTCTGTTAAGAGCCCTCAAACTGAACCCATAAAAATTTTTTCATTCTAGTTAAGTTAAAAAGTAATTGCAAAGTATCTTGTAGTTGAAACACTCATTTTATTCTTCACGTAAGGGTCAGTGCAGAGAAGGAAATGTAAATTTTAGTCTTAAATTGTTGCACAGTAGTTTTACCGCAGCATTTAATTCTTTGTGTATTTTGAATAGATAGAAATTTGTGTACTAAAAATTCAACCTGGGAACAAAATCCAAATAACTCCCTGAAATAAGTGCATGCAGACGATGGCCTCCATTCAACGAAGTACTCAAGGCATATACTTAAATCCATCCTTATTCAGTAAAGCACATAAGCACAAAAAGTACGTACTTAAGTGTTTTACTGAATGGTAGCTTATGAGAGTTACTTTTTAGTCATGCTACTCATATACCTTGTCTTGCCCTCACACTGTAGTAATTTTATATTTCTTTTCACAGCGGAGAAAATCCTTTTACCACTGTGAAACTCCGACCAACAGTAACAAATGACAGATCAGCACCAATAATTCGATGAATATAATATTCATGAAAATATTTTTACTCCTGTAAACACTATGTTCAGCAATATGATTTACAAAGGCTGTTTATTTAAATGTAATTAGTGTACAGTAGGAGAATATTGGAGTGGATTTCTGATTTTAACAATCCATCTGCTTTCTAAATGAGGTAATTGCTCTGGGTTAAAATGTTTGAGAATTTTGGCTTGATTTTACACTACATGCCTTTTTTAGGAAGAAAGACAGTTGTGAAAGTATGGGGGAAGTTTGAATACTGTAGTTACCTGCATACTTAATATTTTATCAAAATGCTCTCTCTCTGTTGTATGGAAAATACCATGGATAAGTTTGTGCTTAAGTCTGCATGTATTGTTTAGTAGATATATAAAAGAAAAAAAACTGATTTTTTTTTAATAAAAGGAACAATGCAACTGTTGCCTTAATACTAAGAGTAGAAGTTTGACTGTATAAAATGATTATGTATTGCATTGTATTGTTTAAGATATATGCCTTAGGTTATAAATATTTATCCTCTAAGAGCTTAGACAAATGTAGTATGCTTTGCTTGATGTTAAAATGCAAATTATTTGATCTGAAGTGTCAGCATAAAGCTACTAAAATTATACAAAGTCTGACTTTTAGTTCAGTAATGTTCTACTCTGAAAAAGGAGTATTATTGTTCTAATGAAATAACTATTTAAAGTGTGTGGGGGGACACCCATTTGCAATACAGTACTATCCTTAAGAGGACCATGTCTACTGAAATTTGTCAAAAACTTGTTTTATAAAAAAAAATTAAACAATTTTGCCACAATTTTTCTTCAAATTCCAGTGCAAACAGTTGTCTTTAAACAACCTTTCCCCCTGTGTATCCCAAAGATTGCAGCACTCAGAAACTGACAACTTACTTTTGTCCATAATTAGAGAAATGTGAAAAGTAAATTGGATTTTTTAATTTTTTGTAATAAACCTAAGTGATGGTAGTAATATAAGTAAACATTGTGTTGCCTATAGCTAAGTAAACAGTGCCCCTTTAAGTCACAGAAATTCAGTTATCTTGTCCATCCCCCTGCCACTGCAGGATTGTTCTGAACATTGTATTTAAAGGGGTATTATATTGTTATATTTAATAGCAATGTTACAGGCTTGGTGGTCTGACCACAGAAAACTGAGTTCTAATCATGGTGATACTGATACTTTGAGCCCCTAAATCCTCACCTGTGCCTATCACCCTACTGCCCCAGAGTCTAATCTCCTAAAAGAGGCAGAGTTGGGCCTTCTCATTTCCGGTAAGTAATGACCAAGGAAAAACCCTGGTGCTGAAAGGCCAGTAGCCACCTACTGAATGGTGTGTTTCACTCTAACTCTGTTGACCCAGTGATCCACCACAGTTCTAAGCAGCACAGTACTGTCAAGTTGCCATTTCCCAGATATGTAAAACACAGATTTGACTACTTTTGGTCATTAAAATCCCATTGTATGTTTTGCAAGAGTAGGGAAATCTGCACCAGGGTACTGGTCCAATTCTAACTTGAGTATTACATTTTGCTTTGTGTTACTGCAAGAGGAATGTAGGATCACTTGGATACTATGTTTCATCACTCCCTTTGAGAAATTGGTATGTATTGTTTCTGTAGGCTGTAAATAGCTAAAATTTCAGAGTTAGGTAAAGTAATTCTTATATCTAGTTTGTAAAGTGCTTTGCAATCCTTCAGCATTAAAAGCGCTATACAAATGTAAGATGATGGATTTGTCCTCATGGATATTCGCTCTACCTTGAAAAGGTCTGGTACAGTGATCTGGAAAGAGATTTGTATAAAAAGCTGTCTAACTTTGAAACAATAAGTAATTATTTGAAAAGTCTGAGGGAAACTGGCAGAAAAGTAAAACAAACACCAGAAACTGCCCTGTCTGATCATAGCCAATAGGCAAATATTTCAGCAGATGTAAAGCTGCTGTGCTGCACCAAATTCTGCAATATTAGACCATAGTCTGACTCCCTAACCATACGATAATCCACTTATGTCATAGCACTTGAAAAACCATTGGCCCACATGAACATTTTAAAGCTTTGTTAATCATCAGCCTTATCCTTTTATCTCTGACCCTCACTTGTGACCTAGACGGTTGCAGAATCAAGCTCTTGCCGAACATTGACAATGTATTTTTGTACAAAGGTGGCCCTGCATCATCTCTGGTGTCTGTCTGTAGGTAGTTACATCTTCTGTAATTTTTCAAAAAGAAGGGGCTAACGTGGATGTCCTGACCAATGCTCTCACTCTACCTCTGAGTATTGGTAAAGGCCCTCTGCTAGCATTAACAGTTAGAGCTTGCATAATCATTGCCACCACACTCTAGTTAATTGTGAAACACTTTGGAATTTGTGGAGTACAGAGTACTTTATAAAAAGTATAGTTTTGTAAATATTGAACATGTCTATTCCCTGTGTCCATTTCTCAGAAATGGTTAAATTATATAAGAAAAAGCAAACAACTTAATGGAAGTAAGCTTCAGTGATCTGTTTTAATACTCAGTTGGTGGTCTTAAAAAGTTATGGATGCAACAGTGTATTTCATGGGCCTAAACAATGACTGTATGTTAATAAGCAAGAGAATGCACTGCCTGCAGGGATTATGGATTTCAGGCACCAAATAAAATACAGTACTGAATAGCCACTACACTTTTAAAATAGCTTACATTTTTATCAAGTGCAACACAGTAGGGGTAGCTTTAGTTGCTCAATCAGATAGTCAGCTTGATGAAGTACACTCCGACATTAGCGCTTCTGCCTTGGAAAATACATCACTGTAGAAGCCTCCTATTAAAATCTGGTCCATTAACTCCTTTCCCACTAATGCAAGATTTTTCTGTAGTTACTTAGAATATTGTGAAGTCTGGTGTTCAGTGTCTAACAGGAAGAAAACCAGGAAAGGGTTAAGGGCTGCCTGCCTGTCACATGATTCAGCAGAGGTTTAAAGCAAAAGGTGAATCCTCCTTTTTCCATGGCAGAGAGGTACAAGGGGAAAGCCTCAGAGGCCCTACAGCCTGGTTTGGTCAGAGAAATAGCTTTGTTATAAGTTACTTTGAGTTTTGTGTCAAATAAATTTGTGCCCTGAGACAAGGGCCTAGAAGATTTTGGTGTAAGCGATGGTTCTTTGCTGGGCTGGGAGAGAGCCCAATAGCTTCGTGTCCAGAGTAGCTGTGTCCTCTACCTACACCTGAAAGATGTCTGTCAAACTGTTGAGGGAAGTTTAATCTTAGCCCATTACTCTACATGAGACCTCATTCTATAAGTAGCAGTACCTCTAGTAGTAATTCTTAATGTGTTTATTTTTTATAGTTGTAATTCTTCCCCCCATTTCTTAGCCAAAGTACATCTGACATTCAGGAAAGATTAAAATGAGTCTCTGGCTCTGATTTTATTACTCCTCCTGAGCTGCATGTTTAGCTATGAGGAACTCACAATTTAATAGTAAGACTCCACTATTTGCCTCTGCAGCCAAAAATTGCAATGCTACTTAATATTGTAGCAAAAAGCAGGTGTCAGACCTAGGTATCTCAGCATTTCTTTACAGTTTATCTTCCCATTGTTTGATTATTCTTCTAAAAAAGAAAAATGCAAGCTAAAATTTAATCTGATTTGTTACTTTCCACTCATGTTTCTAATCTGTCTTGTTTCCTTGATATTATTTGTCGTTCCTCCTCCCCACTGAACTTCAGGCGACTCTTGAAATCAGTCGGAGCATTTCCATTGGACTTCAAGGGCTTTGGATCAAGCACTGAGAATTTTTATTTCTTCATCAGTCATATCAATGAGGTTATTAAATAAGACCTGATGCTTTTTCCACTTTGTTACCTTACATTTATTGCCCCAGCTATTTCAGTCCAACTGCCAGTCTTGCTTAGCAAGCCAATGAAAATTGCAAGATTGAGCCAATATCAAGTTACAAACAACCATTTTTCAGAGATTAAAATAGGTCAGATCATGCCAGATAAGCTTTTTGACAGGTTAGGTTATGTATTTCTAAAAATCAGTGCCATTAGTTTCATACCATACTTAATGAATCCATTTACTGCTGTATTATCTCTACCTCAATATTTGTGAATATCCATTCTGTTACTCATGTCTAACAGATTTTGTTTACAAGAAGTAGAAAAAAGAAAGTATTCTAAGAGACTTCAGGTCTTTGAAGTGAGAAAGTACAACAGCATATTTTATGGTGTCTTGAACTTCCCCAGAATTTTCCAACTTGTGCATGTTAGTGTCTCTCTACATATCTTAACTTCCTGAAATAAGTTTCTAGTACTGCTGTATCCTGTGGAGCATATAGTCAGAGCTAGTCAAAACAAAATTAAAAAAAACATGATTTGAGACTTCAAGAAGTTTGGACCAGCTCTATAGTTGGTCAAAAAATGCAAGAAGTTGACATGAGAATTAGTCTTTCCCTCAACTCCCTTCAAAATTTGAAAAAATGTTGACCAGCACTGGTCCTCAGTCCCAACCTGCCCCAATATTCTCCATAACAATAGATCACTTCTATGGTTAGAATCGCTACTTTTAGATTTCTTACTTTAAACCTCTGGAATGTCACAACACTGCAGTTAGTATGATTGTATGCATACAAAGTTTATGGTTTTTAATCTGCCTATTAACACCGAGGACATTAAGTGATTAAAAAAAGTTAAACAAGGTACATGGTGAAAGTGTGCATACACAGAACCAGCTGACATGAAAGAATATTTTGATACAAGATTCAGTCTTGCCACAAATTGTGAAGATTGCAAAAAGAGAAGCAGTTTTATTTAAGTTTAAAGATGCCATTAAACATGGAAACAAGATGGGTTTTCGTGTTTTGCAATGCACATGCTCATAAAACTGATTAAGTTTATCACATGCAAGACTATAATTTCATCACACTTTACAAAACAGGTCTGAAGCATAATCAGATAAAATGATTGTACATGACATTTACATTAGAAACAAGTACTACAATAGATGTGGCCTCTATAAGCCTGTTCAGGTTGATCCCTTAACCAAAAGTTGCCCCACAGTTAGGACATCTTCGTTGCCTCAGAGCAAGACAAAACAGAATTCCAATTGGAAAGAATACGATGGCACACAAGACACCAAGACAGGTGAAGGTGTCCTCCAATACACCAACTCTGTAGGAGGAAAGAAAAAGAGTTAAGTCACAAAATGCCTGCTGACACTGTAGGCAAGGCTGGCAGCTCTTCCTGTTCAAGTTTTCCCACAGTTCATAGTAAGCGTTTTCAGTTGCTTATAAAATTTGCCAAAATTAACTCTCTGGGTTGAAATTTTACATGCCAGGTGTCTGCTTGAGGTCAAATTGTTCTGGGAAATTTCAGCCAAAATGGTTCAGCTGTTCCTGAGAACAAGACTAAGGAAAAAAAGTTTTCCCCATGTTAAATTCTGGAGGACCTTTTCTTTGAGAAGCTATAGCATTCTCATGTTTTGGAGCAGGGACCTGACATTTGGCACTGGGTTGCCTTTGTGCTAGGGATGTGCCTGTTGCCAGCCTCTTCAAAATCTGCCCAATTTTGCCCGGGTTATCAACCCGTGGGGGGGGGGGGAAGAGAACAAAAACCCTGCAGTTTGCACATGCTTAGTAGAAACTTTGCAGCTACAGTCTCCAAATATTCTGTCCACGCTGGGCATGCTTCAGTCTAGGCCTAAGCAGCTGTTTCCTTGTCCTTTAGGATGCCTGCAAGTGCCAGACCGGGGTGGGAGGACGTAGAAGAAGATTAGGACAAGGAACTTGGGGGAGACTAGAACTGACAGGGCTTAGAGCCAAGGAGAGGAGAGTGGAATTGAGAGCCAAGAAGGAAAACAGGGTGAACTGGGAGAAGAATACAGATAAGGAGCATGGATGCAGGGGGAGAACTGGACTGGCTGAGCAAGGACACTGGGACAAGGAGCCAGAGGCAGGGAAAAGATGGGACAGGTCAAAAGGGGTCAAGTTTGGGGGAAATGGACAGAAAAGTCTATGCCTACTACAACATACTCCGTATGGAAGCCAAGATTCTTAAGTCTTACCATTCCTCTGCTGTTGGTAAAAAACCAATGTTTTACCAAATATCTGTAAAAGCCACTGGCAAAGTATCTTATCCCACTCCAGGGCTGTTCCACAAAGAGATGATAACCTACTACTGTTATCAGTTACTCCATTTGCTCAATTGGCAGAGGTCTGTGAAGTGGATCTAAAGCTTCCAACCCTGATGATGAACCATGTGTGTCAATATGGTGCAATACAATGGAATTTGGTTTTTTCCAGTTTGCTTCAGAGCTAGGGAGTTGAATGTAGTTGTGTATACAAAACTAAGGGGGCGGGGGGAGGAAAAAAAATCAAGCACTTAAAGTTAGGAAATGTCAGCATTAAGGTTGTTTGTGTAACTGTAAATTTGGGCTTCCTATCAGCATGCACTGTAATAGTCTAATTACACCACACTTTTTTCCACAGGACCCCAGCCTCCTTCAGTGCACAGGACACATCTGCTCGGGGGGGGGGGGGGGGGAGGGAGAGAATCAGTTCTAGGTGTCTCACCC